CCTTGCAGGGGTGGAGGAGTTTTGGGGCTGGGGGGGATCCCACCGGTTGCCCCCCCATGTGTAACCCCCTGCCAGGGTGCGGCGCTGCCCGGGGGCAGCAAAGGGAAACTCGGGGCACAGGCGAGAGTTACCCCTCCCACTCCAGGACGAGCCCCCTGCAGGATGTGGGGCAGGGACCTTTCCCTTGCCCCTCTCCTGGGGCAGTGCCCACTGCACCCGCCTCCCCAGGGCCTGCCCCCGGTGTCTCCTGCAGGGTGTGGGGCAGACAGGTGGAGACAGGGAAGGAGGGGCAATCTCAGGGAGGGGAGGAAGGAGGTTTACCCTAGGTCAGGGGCACAGAACCTCTTTTTGGGTGCTGCAGGATGTGGGGCAGGGACCTTTCCCTTGCCCCTCTCCTGGGGCAGTGCCCACTGCACCCGCCTCCCCAGGGCCTGCCCCCGGTGTCTCCTGCAGGGTGTGGGGCAGACAGGTGGAGACAGGGAAGGAGGGGCAATCTCAGGGAGGGGAGGAAGGAGGTTTACCCTAGGTCAGGGGCACAGAACCTCTTTTTGGGTGGGGGGCCACTGACCCACAGAAAAATCAGTGGGGGGGGGGCGCACAGAAGTGAGAAGCAAAGGGGGAAGCCCCTGACTGAGAAGGGGGGAGACACTCCCCACATTCCCCACACGCCAGTGCTTGGGGGGCCCAGGTGAGTAGATGTTGTGTGAGTCAGCCCCACAGGCTCCCCATTACTGGGGGGGGGGGCTCTGAGCCTCAGAGGCCAGATCCAGGCAAGCTGGGGGCTGCATTCAGCCCCCCCAGGCCTTACGTTCCCCACCCCAGAACTAGGTGCTATGGGAGATTTGATTCAGTGACATATTTTCCACAGACCCCCAAAACCATGAGTCCTGCACTGTGAGTGGCTACCACTTACCTACTGGGGCTGCCTAAAAGCGCCTGCAGTTCACAAATGTCTCAGCTGCTGCTGATCCTCTGACTCCCCCCCCCTTCTTGTAACCCAGCTTCCCCTCCTTGGCATCGTCTCACTCCCCCTACTCTTAGCTCTGCAGCATTTACCCTGCGGCGCGGTGCACAGGGCTGCCGTTGTGCATCGGATTGATAGTACCCGAGCAAATAGCCATTGCAAATATGTAGAGAGGAGTCACCAGTCGTTTGAGCGCTATCTGCCTCTAGCCGAATTTTTTTTTTGGCAGTTTCAATGTGGAATTTTATCCCTCCCCGTTTTTGTTTTTGAGCACAAGTTTACGCTGTGGGATCCTACCGCTTCCAGCCTGATTCTCCGACCAGCTGTCAAAACTTGGTCATTTCATTTGATTCGTCAATGGGGTTCCCCTTCTTAACTGATAAGAACATAAGAGCGGCCGTACTGGGTCAGACCAAAGGTCCATCTAGCCCAGTGTCCTGTCTGCCCACAGTGGCCAGCACCAGGTGCCCCAGAGAGGGTGGACCGAAGACAATGATCAAGCGATTTGTCTCTTGCCATCTCTCTCCAGCCTCTGACAGAGGCCAAGGACACCATTATATCCCCTGGCTAATAGCCTTTTATGGACCTAACCTCCAGGAAATTATCTAGCGTCTCTTTAAACTCTATTAGGGTATGTCTACACTACAAAGTTAGTTCGAACTAACGGACGTTAGTTCGAACTAACTTTAATAGGTGCTACACTAGCGCTCCGCTAGTTCGAATTTGAATCGAACTAGCGGAGCGCTTAGTTCGAACTAGGTAAACCTCATTTTACGAGGACTAACGCCTAGTTCGAACTAGCTAGTTCGAACTAAGGGCTGTGTAGCCCTTTAGTTCGAACTAGTGGGAGCCTAAGGCTTCCCAGGTTTCCCTGGTGGCCACTCTGGCCAACACCAGGGAAACTCTATGCCCCCCTCCCGGCCCCGGACCCCTTAAAGGGGCACGGGCTGGCTACGGTGCCCGTGCCAGGTGCAAGCCTGCCAGCACCCAGCTAGCAGACCCTGCACCTGGCACGGCACAGAACCACCCACCCGATGCCCCCCAGCCCACCCCCTCTTGCCGGGACCAGGCTGGCGGGTCCCGGGAGCGTGCCCCGGACCGCAAGAGGCGGGCACCTTCCTGGGCTAGTGCGGACATCGTGGACCTCGTCCACGATCTCCGCACTAGGCACAGGAAAGTGGCCGTCTAGGGCAGGAGAGCTGCCAGCCTGGCCACCCAGGACCAGGTGTGCATGAAAATCAAGGGGGTCCACTGAGACCCCCGACATAAGAACATAAGAACGGCCGTACTGGGTCAGACCAAAGGTCCATCTAGCCCAGTATCCTGTCTACCGACAGTGGCCAGCACCAGGTGCCCCAGAGAGGATAGACCGAAGACAATGATCAAGCGATTTGTCTCCTGCCATCCTTCTCCGGCCTCTGACAAACAGAGGCCAGGGACACCATTTCTGTCTCCTGGCTAATAGCCTTTTATGGACCTAACCTCCATGAAATTATCTAGCTTCTCTTTAAACTCTGTTATAGTCCTAGCCTTTACAGCCTCCTCTGGCAAGGAGTTCCACAGGTTGACTACACGCTGTGTGAAGAAGAACTTTCTTTTATTAGTTTTAAACCTGCTACCCATTAATTTCATTTGGTGTCCTCTAGTCCTTCTATTATGGGAACTAATAAATAACTTTTCTTTATCAGCCCTCTGATCTTTGGCCTCCCAGTCCAGCCCTGCATGCGACTGCTTGTGTGGTAGAGCCCAGTCCCCAAAGGGCAGGAATTCCTTCAAGTTCACCACTCTCAAAGGCAAACGTCTTTGGTGAACCTGAGAAGGCCACACCTCGTCGGAGCCACTTAGCCCAGTGTCTGGTCTTCCGGCAGTGGCTGGTGCCAGGTGCCCGGAACAGTGACCCTGTCATTGGGCAGTCGGAAGCTCGGGACGCAGACACCCGAAGCAGGGGTGCATCCCTGGCTACCTTGGCTAATAGCCACCCATAGATGTATCCTCCAGAACTTAGCTCAGTTGTTCAGGAACCCAGCAGCGGAGACGGCTGGGGAGGGACACAAAGGGGGCACTGGTTACGTGTCCACCCCCTAGGTGACTCCTCCCTGGATCACCCCTAACCTAGAAGAGGGTCCCACCTCCTCCTCCCCCCCCACACCTCACTTCTCCCCCTCTCCCGCTTCCAGTCCACCCCCTTCTCACCTGGAACCTCTGGAGCTTAGTGCATGAGCCTCTCCTACAGGAGCTAAAAGGGACACGAGGCTTGAGAGGCTGAGAGAAGTGAGTGCAAAGTCAGCTGGTGCTCAGCTCAGGCTGAAGAGCAAACTCATTGTCTCTCTGTACGTGGTCTCCGTGCCACTCGACGGGGGGTGCCCCACGCCCAGCAGGTGTGTGTGTTGCATGTTCCGGGAGCGCCTCCCGCTTAGGAGCGACAGCACAGGAGAAGGCAGGAAGGTGCTTGTTAGAAAAGTTAAGAGGTCAGTGAGGGAGGTTGGCGTCACGGGCCAATCGGAAGCAAGCATGGACAGCCCGATAGCAAATGAGAGAGGACAGGGGGTTAAGGAGGAGGGGCTTTGAACACAGACTCAGAGCTTGGGGCGATAGAGAACGGGCAGCCAGAGAAGCCACTCAGAGAGGAGTGAGCTGGTCGAAGGGGGGGCGTGGAAAACAGTCGGCGCAGCAGCACTTGGAATGCAGATGCGCCAGGCAAGCCCAGCACTTGTCCATGCCACAGGAAAGGATGGTGCAGGAACTGGTATGTAGGGACCTGGGGGAAGAGGCCCACCTGTCAGGGAGGGCCTAGCTCCCATGGACGTGTGCTGCAATTTCTTCTCCCCCATGGCCTCTCGTCATCTGCAGTGTGTCATGCACATTCATGACACCGTCTACATCAAGTAATTCAGAAACACACCACCCTTCGGTCTGCCCCGAACAGTGGGACACAGACCAGTCCTTCCACTGATTTTCAGGAAGAAGCAGTTTAAGATCCCTGTGTCAGGGGAGAATTGTCAGACTATCAATGAGTCCGAACAACTGTGGGTAAGTACCAGCCATGGACAAATCCGCTATGGAGAAGAACCAGTTCAACAGAGAAACCAGACTTGTAAGCCCATGAGACCAGGCCCTTCTGAGGTTGTATTGTGTGTGTTTGGTCTTATTCCAGGAAAGAGGCCTTCCATTTCCACAGGTCCTGCAGCCATGGCTGCTCATCCCAGGCCCCCCACCCCTGCGCCCCTTTGAGCTCATTGCTGATATAGTAGGATAGAGGACTTCTCTCAGGGGCCTGTTTTTACCTGTCTTGCACAAGGGCATACTGCAATGGCAGTGTCTGGGCAAAGTACAAGTCACGTTCTCTCTGCCGCAACACACTCCATTCTGGTTCCAGAGTCTCTGTTGCTGGGGAAAACGTTTGCACGTGCGAGGCTGCAAAAACAGGACTGCTTTGACGAGACTCAGTTTGAGCGTATTGGGCGTTAGGGCAGCTGTTCCGGCCTCACGCCGGCTAACACACACGTGCTTAAGGACTTAAAAGCTTCAGGGGGATAGCCAAGTTAGTCTGTAATAGGAAAAATGTAAAAAACAACAGTCTAGTAGCACCTCAAAGACTAACAAAACATGTCGATGGGATCAAGAACTTTTGGGGGCACAACCCACTTCTTCAGATGACTGGCATGTTAGAAAGTAGGGCTTAAGTAACTCTCGGTGTCACCTGGATTACCCACGTGCTTAAAGCCAAGCAGATGTGATCTACAACTCACAGAGATTAAACGTGAACTATCAAGGTGCTATGTTCAGAAACTCCCTTTTCTGACCATAATCAAACTTCATAGCAGCGATTATTATTATTGCTACCATTTATTATTTGTATGGCTGGGTTTTTCTAGGTGTATTTTTCTGTATTCTGAGCTCCATGATTAAAGTATGTTTGCAAATCACACTTTTTATTGCCAATATTTCAGAGCGGGATGGATGAGAGGAAGCAGAGAGGAGACGGTGCAACCTTCTCGGGTAAGACAATTACACAAAAGGCTCTGTTCTGTGTATGGACTGTTTTATCCCGCATGGCCAACTAGAGCAGGGCTCTAGAGTCCCAGGGATGATACAGCACATGCCAAGGACCGCAACTTAAGTGTGGTTGCATATGCAGGGAAATATATATGCAAATAGCTTCTTTCCCACCGATTGGCATGAATACAAAGATTAAGGCAAGACTACACAACACGCAGGCCCCATTTAAGTCAGATCTGCTGATCGTAATTAAATGCAATAGTGACCCGATTTCTGCCTATAGCACAGCACTTTGAATGAGCAATGACAGTGCAGGAATTTAACTACTAAAACGCATACCAATAGAAGACCATTCTATTGACAACTTTTTTGGCTCCCACCTACGGGCTGTATTGAGCCCCGCGTAAACCCAGACCGCGCTGTGGGCTGCAAACAAAGAGGCCGCAGGCAGCGTGTTGAATAGCCCAAAGCTAGATAGAGCTAGGGAAGAGCGTCAACCAGATTCACTGCACGCAGCACAGCGGAAGTGAGGTTTTTAGGGGGACTTTGAGGTGGACACCGTTGTGATGTCGCGGCGAGGTCCCAGCCTGCACAGGGAGGAAGGCACAAAGGCGGCTGTGCAAGAACCTGAAAAGCAGGAGGGTGATGTTAGGAGCATTAGTGGAATGGAGTGGCGGGGGCGGGGCAAAGACTGACAAGAGGGGATGGGCAGCGTTCTATTGAAATGTGAAGGTAGAGCCGAGACGCTTAAACGCCCTAGGGAACTGCTCAGAGGTCTGAGAGGCCCGAGCTCCGTCCGGAGGAGGACGTGGCCTGAGCAGAACACCAGGGTTTCTTTGGACGCGTCTCGTTTTCACGTCTGACTCCGGATCCATGTCAAAGAGCGTCAGCTCCAGGACCAGGGCTTATCTGTGTCCCGCCAGAGACAGATGCTGTGGTTGGACAGTGAGGAGTGCGGTGTAAGAACCGGCCCTGTTGGCCAGGGGCTGACTAGAGAGAGAAGTTGCAGGCTCAGCCCAACGGGGAAGGGAGACACATTCAGGGGCCGTGTTGTGACTGGACAGAGGCCCTGGGGTGTGTTGGGGAGGCCGGAGATGAGAACGGTGCATAATCCAGGCAGAACACATGGGCGCTGGGACGGAACTTGGAGGTTGGGCTGGAGAGGGAAGGAAACTTCTGGAGGGGCTGAGAGGGAAGAACACAGTGGATTTGGATGTGGCCGACGTGCGCAGGGTGAAGGTGAGAGAGGGCTCAACAACTGCCCCCAGATTGCAGGGCTGAGGCGTGGTGGGAATGGAGGGGGGGGTTGAGAAAAGTGTCAGAAGGAAGAAGAGACGTGCAGGAGAGAGAAGGGGCTCAGGTTTGGTCACGTTCAGTCTAGAATGAGAGGACATCCACGGGGACAGAGACAAGCAGAGATGTGGGGCGGGAGGGACATTAGTTACTCTGGGCCTCTCGGCCCCAGGGCACGCTGTGCACGTTAATTAGCAGTTGTATAAATAGTACATGTGTAGGACTTGTCTCTTTTATCTGTGCAATGACGCTCTGACTGTCCAACCTGTCTGCCAGCAGCCACAGACGACAGCAGGAGGTCCGAGCTCAGAATCATCCTCGTTGGCAAAACCGGAGCTGGGAAAAGTGCCACGGGAAACACCATCCTCGGTGAAAAAACGTTTGAGTCCAAACTCAGGGCAAACACACTAACTCTGACTTGTGAAAAGGGGCGAAGGAGCTGGAAGGGGAGGGAACTCGTGGTGATTGACACACCTGCCATCTTTGACCAGGAGGCTCTCGACATAACTTGTCGAGAGATTGTTCATTGTGTCAGGCTCTCCGCCCCAGGCCCACACGTGCTGCTGCTGGTGACCCAGCTGGGCCGTTACACTGCAGAAGACAAGGAAGCTGTGAAGAAAGTCTGGGAGATTTTTGGAGATGGAGCCATGAGGCACACGGTCGTCCTGTTCACCCGGAAAGAAGATTTAGCGATCGACTCCCTGCATGACTACGTGAGACACTCAGATAACAAAGATCTTAAGGGGTTGATTCAACAGTGTGGAAACCGCTACTGCGCTTTCAACAACAGAGCAACCGGGGCAGAGCAGACGGAGCAGGTTTCGGAGCTGGTGGAAGTGATCCAGACAATGGTGCAGGAGAACGGGGGCCGATATTACACCAATGAAATGTACCTGGAGCCCCGTTTAACTGAGCAGAAAGTGAGAGATTACATAGGATTCAATAAGAGAACCAGGCTGAGGACTGTGAAAGCTGCTTGTACCAAGTATAGGAACGTGATTTGGGGCTTTGGGATCGCTGCGGTGGTTGTTGTTACTGTTGTACCTCTCCTGATTTACCTTGATCACTGTTAGAAATAATCCAGGACACTCTGGATGCAGGTGAAAACAAGTGGAGGATTTATTATACACCAGCTGATGGAGTGACATGCAGGGGTTACCCTGGTGAACACTGGTTAATTAACACAATACAATAGGTTATATAGTCAGCAGGTGGACGGAGGAAAAATGATTTGATAGGTCTAGCAGCAAGACTAAATGAGCACATAAGCCAATAGAACTACTCAAGATTACATAATATCTCCGCCCATTGCAAAGTAACAGCTCATTAATTAATATACAGGTGGTTATTGTTCAAATGCTAAAACATGTCAGCAAAACTAATAACATTTTAGTCTGCATAGATGATGTTTCTATAGCAGGCGGGTATGGCCTTGAGTTGGTGCAGCGCTTGGTTCTCAGGCTCATTATCTAGGAGTGAAGCAAGACAGTTAAGCAAATTTTATGAAATGTTATCTTACGCAAAATGTGTTACGTTACTAACTGGAGTCCTGTCCGAGTGGTTAGAATGTGGTTGCTCTGGTGCCCAGGGTCTTTTTACTGCCTGCAGCTCTTATCCTGACTGTGGTGTTCTCAGGCCTAATCCTAGGATGGAGTCATGCTGTTTAGAGGAGGCCGGCTAGCACATTTAGGGCTGCCTCAGTTTACCCTACAATCACTAACGACCATTAATTGTCTCGTTGCAGCCTGAGCTGACTGCTTCCCCCACCGGACACATTTCTACTAGTGTATCACACTCAGACCAAAGTGTGGCTTCATTTCCAGTGACTTCATTTTATCATTCACTTAGACTCTGCTGTGTGAGGTCATAGTTAGCTCACGTGCTCTGTCCTATATAACCATTGTATGCTAAATAGACTTCACTGTATACTGCTAAGGTTGGTGAATCTGTCAAAGGGACGCGTATGCATTGGGTATCTAAGCAAGGACTGGAAGACAAGGCGTAGCGGCTGAAACCTGTATTATGTCAACTTAACCAAGGGGTTAAGTATTACCACTGGGTAATACTGTGAAAAAGGAACAGTCAGAACAGTGTTTCTTACCACGTACCCAATAGTTATATTTTTCCAACATACACCATAACTGTGGGAAAACAGCAGCAGAAGCTGTCCGTCTTCTGATGATCAAGGCAGCCATCAGGCCGTAACACCATCATTAAGGACACGAGTAAAACTCTAGTTGGAACTTGTGCCTAACTCTGTATCAAATGTCTGTTTGCCTGGGTAACCATCACAGGAGTGTTGACTTTCACAACATTTGTAAAACTTTATTAGCAATATCTGTTAGAATCATGTAATTACACAGAACCAGTTTCTACACAGTTACCTTGGATTTAGAATGGCTAACAGATTTAGAGCGCCATTAAGCGCGGTAGTATGGGTGTACAGTTGTGCAAATGCTCTTAGCCTGCGTTTGTAATGGAGTGTCTCCGTTAGTTTCAGGGAATACTCTGGGTTTACAGCCTGGTACCCGAGAGAAGACTTTGTTCCTTTGCCTGGAGCCAAGAGCTCTATCCAGATCTCGTGTAAATGTAGAGTGGCTCAGACTGGAACATCAAATATGGCAGTGTTTTTACTGCTAATGAAATCTCAGACATTTACAGGGCAAAGTTCAGAGCAGGTGTAAGTGGGTGAAACTCTATTGACCTTACAGGAAGAATTGGTCTGGCCCAGTTGCTGCAGTCTCTTTTGATATTTTGAAAGGCAAATTTCATGCCTTCCCCCCAAAATGTTCAGATTTGCAGAAAACTATTTCCTTAGGAGAATGGGGAAGCACTAGTATGGGTTCCCTAGGGAGAAAGTGGAATCTCCATCCCTAGAGGTGTTTAAGTCCCAGCTTGACCAAGCCCTGGCGGGGATGATTTAGTTGGGGTTGGTCCTGCTTTGGGCAGGGGGCTGGACTCAAGGACTCCTGAGGTCTCCTCCAATCCCATGTTTCTATGACTCTAAGGACACAGTTGCTGATTGGAAGCCAGAGAACTGGAATGTGGGCCTGGTTGAGAGGCACCCAGTGCAAAGAATTTTAAGAGGAAAAAATGGTTGGAAATCACGGAACACTCCCTTATCAGAGCTTGTAATGGATGGGAGAAGAGCTGACCAGCAACCAGTGACTAAGGGGACGTCTACACTAGCTCGTCTACACTAACTTGTAGAATGAGGAGTAACGGTATTTCGAAATAGGATCTTTAATTCGAACTACCTACTCCGTGCTGCATGTAGCCATAGGCGCGGAGTTCGGACTAAGGGGGATTTAAAAATGGTGGCACCCAGGAACATGCAAATGAAGCTCGGGATATTTAAATCCCGGGCTTCATTTGCAACTCTGCTTGCCCTCATTACCCTACCTAGCTCAAACTATCAGGCAGCTGGCAAGTGTGTTGGCCAGGGGGCCAGGAGAACCAATTGAGTTATAGGGTTGAAATTTGAATTGGATATAGATTCCTTGCCTGCTTGCTTTGTGTGGGAGAGCTAAACCAGGAGTTGAGAGAGACAGAATGATTTAAACCCAGGCAGGACTACAAGGCCTCCAAGGAATTCGGGGCATGGAAGTGGACTGAACCAAGAGAAGATTGGAAGTAAGTAAAGGGAAAAAAAGTGAATCTAATCACGATTGGGGGATTTTCTTTATTTGGTGATTTGGTTTGAACTGCTCTGTGAGTCTATGCCTCCGCTCCCCATTTACCATGTGTGACGTAGTGGGGGTACCTTGCTGGTTGCTGTGCTGGGCGGTGGGTTGTGAGTGACCTCCACTGACTGCTGTCTGCAGCATGGCCCAGCAGGGCAGGGGATGAGTCATTATGCAAGGGGGCTTCCGAACCTGTCCAACCAGTATTTCCCAGGGAGCGGAACAATGGGAAGAAGGGGAGTGGAGCCCTGGCTGGGGACAGGGCTGGAAGTGAGTTAGTTAGGTTTCTGGCTGGTTTCATGGAGGAAGCAGCCTAGGCAACGGGCTGGGATTTAGGGGCCCAGGCTCCCCCATCTCAAGGGGGGCTGAGGCATCCTAGGCCTGCCCTGTAACCAGATTGCATCTGTGCTGTGCTGTATCCTGGAGAAGCAATAAACCCCCTTTATTCTACTGGCTGGTGGAGTCTGTCCGTGCCATTACGGGGGTGCAGGAGACGGGAAAACCCCAACGTGCCGTCACACCATGTAAGCATTGTTCCCAGAGATTTTCTCTGTGTTTTTATTTTGTTTTCCTTAGTTGCTCTGTAACACCTAGCAACCAAGTCTGCTTTCTCAAGTATATCTTTTGTTTTGTAATAAAAATCACTTTTCTTTAGGTGATGATTTGATTCTTGTGTCCTGGAAGGTAGAGTAGGTCAGTCTGTCTGCAGGCCTCAGACTGAGAGGTCAGCGACCAGGGATTGCTGCTTGTTTTTGTCTCTTTTCTTTTCTCAAGCTCCCTTGTGGCAGAAGAGCTTGGGGTACCCTGGGGGTGGGTTCAAGTGTTTGCTCCCGGCCTTAGGGATAAAAATTACTCGGTGGTGGCAGCGACCTGCCCAAATCTGTGTACTGGGATTCTGGGGGATGTTTTTGTAACCAGGGCCTGTAGTGTCAGGGGATATTTAAAGTTTTTGCACCCCTCTCCTTCGGCACTTGGAGTGCCAGAGTGGGGAATAGCCTTGAGAGAGCTCCTTGTCCTGCTCCCTTATTAGTCACTTCAGTTCTGGGGAAAACAACTTGAGTCCGAATTCTTTCTTGTGTGGCTGGCACAAACCCAGTTCCTGTAAAACTTTCTGAGGAGCATTTGCTTTTCTGGCATCTCTGTGTTCTTTGCTGCTCCATCCCATTTCCCTTTCCTCTCCCCTTCTTCCCACCCATCTGAAGAATTTTGTTTCATTTCTCGTGCCGTGAGAACTTGACATAGCGCTCCATCCAAATGATTGTATAGACGGAAACCAGAGCTGTTTACCTCAGATATTAGCTGCCTCTAGAGGCCATGTTGAACTCAGAGTCATGGAGACACTGAAAGCTTTGCTGGATTTATGCTAGGCAAGCTACAGCTTGTGGCCTCTCCTATATACAAAAATTACAGGTTGAACCTCACTACTCCGGCACCCTTGGGACCTGACTGGTTCTGAATAAGAGAATTTTACAGCAGGGCAATATTGTCTCGCAGCATTACCAGCACTTCCACTGGTAATGTTACTGGGCTGTTAGAGGACATTTATGAGAAAATTAGAGCTAAATAACAGCACGTAATACTGAGAGCGAGGATAGGTGGCTGTGAACAAATGTTATGGGACCACGGGAAACTTGGCCACACCCATAAAAACGGACATCTAGTTAACTAACATCTTCCTGGACCACAAATGTTGCCAGACCAGAGAGTACTGCACTAGAGAGGTTCAACCTCTACCAGTTTTTAGTTGCATCCTCACCTATATATGATAGAGATGCAAATATAAAACTTTATTCTTTCCATTTTCTTTGTCTTTTCTGTTAAGCTAAAACACGTATTTGGCTGTGCTGTGGGACCTCTTAAACTTGACTTAGATTAGGGCCTCAGCATGTCTTAATCTGACCCTGAGTGAAGGGAGCACAAACTCACTTGCACTCTGCCCTAAAATGTCTGCCTGAAGGGATTTCAGTTATTTTTGTGTGTTTTAAAATGTGGTTGCAATGTTTAAAAGGAAAGTCTGTGCTACTGATCATTGTTATTGGAAATGATCTTGGCTTCCAGGGAGAAAACATTTAATACACTGAAATCAGGCAGAGGGTAAATAGAGGAGATTTTGAAGTAAACCAGCAGCAATAATTAGAAGCTGCTCAAAACTAGGTGATTGGGTAACAAAATGGCAAATGAATTTTAATGTTGATTCATTTAGCTATAACCACTCAAGAGAGAGATCTTGAAGTCATCGTGGATAGTTCTCTGAATACATCCATTCAGTGTGCAGCAATAGTCAAAAAGCAAACAGAATGTTGGGAATCATTTAAAAGGGGATGGAGAATAAGACAGAAAATATCTTATTGCCTTTATATAAATCCATGTTACGCCCAGATCTTGAATACTGCATACAGATGTGATTGCCTCATCTAAAAAAAAAATCTTAAAATTGGAAAGGGTTCAGAAAAGGACAACAAAAATGATTAGCAGTTTGGAACAGCTGCCATATAAGAAGAGATTAATAAGACTGGGACCTTTCAGCTTAGAAAAGAGGCGCCTAAGGGGGGATATGCTAGAGATCTGTAAAATCATGACAGGTATGGAGAAAGTGAATAAGGAAAAGTTATTTACTTGTTCCCATAACATAAGAACTAGGGGTCACCAAATGAAGTTCATAGGTAGCTGGTTTAAAACAAACAAAAGGAAGTTTTTCTTCACTCAGCACACGGCTGACCTGTGGAACTCCTTGCCAGAGGATGTTGTGAAGACCAGGACTTTAACAGGCTTCAAAAAAGAACTAGATAAATTCACAGAGGTTAGGTCCATCAATACTTATTCGCTAGGATGGGCAGGAATAGTGTCCTTAGCCTGTTTGTCAGAGGCTGTAAATGAATGATGTGGAGAGATCCCTTGATGATACCTGTTTCTGTTCACTGTCACTGGAGCACCTGGCACTGGCCACTGTTGGAAGACAGGACTCTGTGCTAGATGGACCTTTGGTCTGACCCAGTGCAGCTGTTCTTAAGAGCTTGCGGTGCTGGATTGATACTGAGACACAGTTTATGACTGTGTGTACCCCCTGAATCCGAGCTGTCAGGACAGTGTGATATGGAAACAGCTATAAGCAGAGCCATCCTGTCTAAAGGCTGGTTCGGGGTGGCCACCAGGGGCCCTGAGATTGGGGGTCCCTGTACGGCCCAGGGCAGCCTGGTGCTTTCAGGAGGAATCCAGCCTGCCTCCACACTCACCAGTGGCTGCGGGAGCCGTGGGAAGTGGAGCAACCCAGAATCCTGCTTTGCTCTGCCCTCTCCCAGCCTGCTCAGCTCCCCTTCCTGCTGCTGCTGTGAACCCCTGGAAGGGGGGTGGCTGTGAACGCCGGGAAGGGGGGTGACCCTGCTGCCATCCCCAGCCCACCCCCGTAATCCCCTGGTGGCATTGCTTGGGGGAGGGGTTTAGGGCTGGGATGGGGGTGGAAGGAGGGGAGCAGGGGTGGGAAGAGGTGGGGTGGAGAGGCAGGGATGAGGTTTGGGGTAGGGTGTAGTGTTGGGTGGAGCAAGGGTGGAAAGAGGTGGGACGGGGTGTTTGTGTGAGTCTGTCTGTCTGTCTATTCAAAAACTCCTTCTAAACAGTAAGAGCTAGGGCCACCAAATTCGGTACACAGCTTCCTTCTGTTCCAACAGAAAGGAAAGTCGAGGTTTGGCTGGGCCAGGACAGTGGGATGTGCCCGGAATGGGACTGCGTCTCAGAAACCACAAGGGAGGGCTCTGCTCTATAATGACCACACGAGGGCAGCAGGAGCTATGGGATGGAAACCAGGGGCCGTTCTGCTGTGTCATGACCACAGAGAGGCAGCAGGGGGCAGCAAGGGCAGGTTTGGGTTGGGCCAGGACAGTGGGATGTGCCCAGAATGGGACTGCGTCTCAGGAAACCAGAGAGAACAGAGACAGACTCACCAGGCAGGTGAGAGGGGCTGGCTGGGGGTGCACCCCTCCCCCATATCCAGGACTGTCCCAGACCTGAGCATCCCACCCTTGGGGCACCCTTTCGGGAGGGTGGGTGGGGCTGAAGCTCCCCTCTCTCCTCCTCCCGATTCATACAGGGGCATTGGTGGCTGTTTTCCGTCTCACAGCTTGCTGCATTCCTCACTTTGGCTGGGGAGCGCAGGGAGCAAGTGAGCCTGGACCTAACCCATTCAGGAGACATGCACCCCTCCTTCGGCTGTGCCCGCTGGAGCTGCAGCGGCCATGGAGAGGCGTCTCACCTAGCTGCTGTGGTGAGAGCGGCTGGAGTCCTCTCTCCCCGGGGCCACCTGCCTACTGACCCCTCCTCCTAGCCCCCTGCAGAGCAGGACTGAAATGAAGCCGACACATTTTCATTTTATTTCCCCAAAAGCAAACATTAACCAAGTCCAGGACCTGAGCAACACCGGGTGCGTCTTGCAGGCCTTTTCTGCACTCCAGTGGAAGGCCAGTGTAAGATACGCCATGCCCAGACGGGCGCCCTCTGAGTTAGCGGGTTGTTACAGGCCCCATGAATCCTGGAAGATGGACTGTGGCAGCATTGCACAGTGGAGACACGGCCCTGGGCTGTGTCTACACTGGCCAGTTTTTCCGGAAAATCAGCCGCTTTTCCGGAAAAACTTGTCAGCTGTCTACACTGGCCGCTTGAATTTCTGCAAAAGCACTGACTTCCTACTGTATGAAATCAGAGCTTCTTGCGGAAATACTATGCTGCTCCCGTTCGGGCAAAAGTCCCTTTTGCACAAAACTTTTGCGCAAAAGGGCCAGTGTAGACAGCTCAGATTTGTTTTCTGCAAAAAAGCCCTGATCGCGAAAATGACGATTGGGGCTTTTTTGAGGAAAAGCGCGTCTAGATTGGCTACGGATGCTTTTCCGCAAAAAGTGCTTTTGTGGAAAAGCGTCCGTGCCAATCTAGATGCTCTGTTCTGTAAATGCTTTTAACAGAAAACTTTTCCATTAAAAGCATTTCTGGAAAATCATGCCAGTCTAGACGTAGCCCTGGTGTTTAATAACTGTCCTGTTGCTACTCTCCTGCCCTTCATCCACGACTGTGTAAGAGAGAGGAGCCGGGCTGTGACAGTCAGGGGCAGAGGGAGACAGAGGGAAGGAAAGCAAAGAGACCAGAGAGAGTTCACCCGCCCTGTTCTCTTTGCTTTCCTTCCCTCTGTCCCCCCACTGTCACAGCTTGGCTCCTCGCTCTGTCTCCACTCCCTTGCCCCCCCAGCTCGGCAGGGGCTGGGGAGGAGCAGACCAGCCAATGAGGGTGGGGAGAAGGCTGTGGTGAGCTGCTCCCTAGAGGAAGAAAATTCTCCCTTTGCAGCCTGCTGTCTTGGCCACCCTCCTTCCCTCAGCCTCAGTATCCCCTCTAGTGGCCATGGCCAGCTGCATGGAATAGGGCAAGAGGCAGCTACACTTGTCACAGACTTTTTGGGGGAAGACGGTTAAAAGGGCGAGGGGAGGATACACCGTTTGTCTCCCCACCTCTGTCCTAGGAGTGGCACATCTGGTGACACTGGTGCCTGTGTGGTTCCTGCCGGGAGCACTGGATCTTTGGCTGCAGGGTGCATGGGCTGTGGGAGGCTTCTCGCTGCGAGCAGCCAATCACGCTAACGGCAGTTCCTGTGAAATGTTTGTGGGTTTTGGCAAAGGCAGTTTGCTGCTCCGTGCACTCAGCCAGCAGGCGTGGAACTGCACAGTGCTCGCCCTCTGCCTGCCTGCCCCACCTCAGCACTTCGCCTCTGTCCGGAGCGTGGATTTACCCACCCGGGGGAATTGTTCCTGTTCTTCTCGTACACCAGCATCCTGGGTGGAGAGCACCGGAGCCTAGAGCAGGTACTGTCTGGGTGAGGAGTTTTAGTCTCCTCATTTAAGCTCATGTTGCCTGAGATTTAGATTTGCACATTTCCTCCAAAAACACTTCCTTGCAGTCTGCTTGAATCGACTCAGCCAAGGGCAAAATCACATAGTCTGGTAAAGAAAGGCACTTGTAATTCTGTAGCTTGGTTTTATGTGAAGTGATCTGCAGGAAACACAGTGGCAAAGCATGATTGTTTTCAAGCTGAAAAGTCTAAGCTGAAGAAGCAACACAGGGTTCTCTCTCCCTCTAGTATTCTTTTTTCACTTGTGCTGATCATTTGACAATACAGATTTGTCCTAAATTGACCCGTGACTCACGACACATGGCAGAGCCTTCTGAGTGGCAGGTTGTTAGTTTTACTGGGCACCAAGCTGGACTATTCATGCTGGGAACAGCACAAGCAGCACAGAGTTGTATGGGCATGAGGGGAGAAAGGCAAGGCTGATGTGGTACAGATGAGTAACAGGGGGTGACAGAAGCAAAATGCAGGACAATGTAGCACTTTAAAGACTAACAAGATGGTTTATTAGATGATGAGCTTTCGTGGGCCAGACCCACTTCCTCAGATCAAATAGTGGAAGAAAATAGTCACAACCATATATACCAAAGGATACAATTTAAAAAATGAACACATATGAAAAGGACAAATCACATTTCAGAACAGGAGGGGGATGCAGAACAGGAGGGGGTGACAGGCTGGGGCACCCACATCCCTGGGGCACCCTGCCAGAGTCTCGGTGCACCGGCTGTGAGAAGAGGGTCTAGGCACTTCTCTGAGCTGCAGCAGGGTTCGGGGTGCAGCCTGGATGTTGGGGGGCCGAGGGGCTGCATGGTACCCCCTCTTTTCTCCAGGCTGTTCCCTCACCTGGCACCAGGAGCTGGGCTCACCCCCTGGTTTCCTCCTCTGGCTGACTTGCCAGTGGCTGGCTCTGCCCTCTGTGAGACATATCCATGGGACAGTCCGCACCCCACCACCTTCTCCATCCTGGGACAGGCACCCTAGCAGAGAGAGGTCTCCCCCGGGTCGCCCCCTTAGGGCAGGTGTTGCCAGAGGAGGCCCCCATCTGATACAGAGGGCTGTGTGGGCGTGTGACCCTGCTGGTGTGGGGGAGGGGAAGGGGCACACTGGGGTACAATGGTGGGGGCAGGGGGGCAGGCCTGCCAAGTGTCCACAGGCCTCTCTCCCTTGCAACAGGGCTGCAGGGGCTGCGCAGGGGCCGTGTGATGGGCCAGTTCTGGGCCAGCTGCCTCGTCCTATGCTCCAGCTGCTCCTCCTGCTGGGCCCTGCCAGCCCCACAATGCTGGGAAGTGCCTGGGCTCAGCTCGGCCGGGCCCTGCCAGCTGGGGGATGAAGGACACGGGAGCTGGGCCGAGGGGAGGGGCAGACACTGGGGTCAGAAGGAAGGGGGGAGGGCAGCAGGCGCTGACGGGGTGGGCAGCTGGCTGAGCGGCAGAGACAGACTGACTGGGGGGGAAACGGGAGCCGAATAAGGAGCAGTGGCTGAAACAGGACAGCCTGGAGGAAGCTTGGTGGAATTTGCCTTTCCGTCCATTTGGTGTCTTCTGATCCTGTTTCTCCTCCTTATGTGATTTTACATTTGAATCGCTCCACCGACATCCATGGAGTTAACTCCTGGTTTACACCAGTGTCCATAGGAGTAGAAATGTGCTCTACATTTTACAAATACCCGCAGGAACATCTGATATTTTGTGTTTTGATTTTTAGGTGAAGGCTGAATCCATTATGGGAGCAAACGCAAGTTCCGTGAGTATCATAACAGACACATTGACTTCAGAGTCCAGCTCACTGACATGTGCTTGTGCTGACATATCTGCAGTAGCTGGGGAGATGGGATGTGTATTGTGGCTTCATCTTGCCTTTGCTTAGCTCAGCATCTTGAAGGGCAAAGCCAAAGAAGCCTTCTCAGACATAGGTACATCTCCCCTAGAAGTTTGCTCTTTGTCACCAGGATACATTCCATTGGCTTCCAGCATCCCTAACCTTGGCAATCACCCTTCACCCAGAATTTGACTCTTCTCACATTTTCATGTTTGCAAATCCCCAGCTCCATGCCCCATGTGCAAGACTGCAGCGCCATCAACTCCGAAATCCCCACCTAGGCCTTCACCTCTCCTGTCTGACTCACCTCCCTGCACCAAGTCCCATCTCTTCATTTCAGGATCCTGTTCAAACTGCTCTCAAGTTTTAAAATCTTCCATGAATTGATCACTGCCTATCCCACGGTCCTCTCTCTTTCTTCTCCCACACCCACTCCCCTCTACCTCGTTCACGTTCTCCACACAAACTCATCACTACTGGGGGAGAACCTTCCCATCTGTTAGTGTAGTCCCTGCCTTCTGGAGTAGCCTCCATGTATCTCTCCCGCCCCTTGACTCCTCATTTCAAACACATGACAGTGCAACAGATTGGAGAGACACATGGGATATTCAAAAACTTGCATCCCCTTTATAAAATGGTATCTGTATCTTTTTGGGCTAGCATAAGAACATAAGAGTGGCCAGACTGGGTCAGACCAAAGATCTAGCCCGACATGCTGTCTTCCAACAGTGGCCAATGCCAGATGCCCCAGAGAGAATGAACAGAACAGGGAATCAAATGATCCATCCCATCACCCATTCCCAGCCTCTGACAAACAGGGACTAGGGACACCATCCCTGGCTAATATCCTTTGATAGACCTAACCTCCATGAATTTATCTAGCTCTTTTTTTGAACACTGTTAAAGTTCTGGTCTTCACAACACCCTCTGGCAAGGAGTTCCACAGGTTGACTGTGAATGCCACAGATTGACTGTGCCTGTATTGTTGGCTCAATGGGACAATTCCAGGAATTAAAAATTACTGGTATTGCAGGGTGGTGGTAATTAATGCAAGTCTTTAGGCAGGTAGCATCTCTGGAGAACCCTCACCCCAAAATGAAATTTAATCTGACCTGGTTAAAGAAGTCTGGCAAGCAAAGATCTGAAAATAGTGTTAAGTGATCACCCTGTTATAGGGGAGGGGTCATTCACACTCTCAGAGCTGACTGACATGAGAGTGTGTCCAAGGCAAACAGAGCCCGTGTAAAGAGCTTGAACTTTGCAACCTGCCGGGGTCTCCTTGTCGAGGACGGCCATCCCTGGTAAGCTGTTGGTGGTTTTTATGAGGTTTTCTCTGTAACAGTTTTGTTCTGAATACATTGCCCCTGAGAGAACTGGACTGCGCAGTCATTGCTACCAACATGATCACAGTTGAGACCTTGAGGGAAGGGGTGCAGTAGGGTGGGGAGGGGCCTTAGGGGAAAGCTGAAAGTTGGCAGCTGTGGTTCTGGTGCGGGGCAGGTGAAGGGGGAATCCTATTGTAAGGCAGACGGGGTGTGTGTGTGACCTGGGGTGCCTCGGGCAGCCCTCACTTAACATGCCACGGTCAGGGCAGGCTGCGAAAAGGAGAGCAGATTCTCCCCACACGACCAGGCTCACGCAGACCGTTCCCTTCTGAGTCATCACCCTGAAGGTGTGAAACCAGAACTCCACTTACTGGCTCACGTTGGCGCACACCCGCCACACAGTTTGTGCCTTTACCCAAGTTAGTTCTTTTCTGGTGCTGAAATGGGGGGCTGGTGGTGAGGGGAACCCGCCCCACCTTCTACACTGGGTTCCAGCCCAAGAGCCCTCAGATAGGAGCTGCCGGTAATGTCTTTTGTCACGGCCACGTGACAGCTACGATTCCCTGGGCCACTTCCTCACAGCCTTCCCCAGCACCTCCCTCCCTGCAGGCTCTTCCTCCGTGTACCTGCTTGTGCTTTCTCCTCCCAGACACCCCACAGCTCCTTTTCTCCCCAGCTCCTTGCTCACACGCTGAGCTAACAGCAGGGGAGCCCTTTTAACCAGTCTCAAGTGGTTCTTCTCTGGTTCCAAATGTCTCGATTAGTCTGGTGCCCTTGAGACTGGAAGCCTCCTAATTGGTGGAATCTCTCCACTGAAATCCACATTTCTAGGTGCGAGTAGATTTATAAACAGTGGGGTGTTTTTGCATTTGTTTCAGCCAGCGGGAAGGTACATACCCAGAGACGATATGGAAGATGAATGCTTCACCTACGGTAAGACAATGGCTGCTCTCATTTCTGACACTCAGTACTGCCGTGTTCCTCTAAGAACATGCCCCTGGCCAGACCTTCTGAGACCCAGGAAATAGTTAACAAGACACGGCTGTTAGAAACCTGGGAAGTGCTCAGGTAAGATCATGCCTCCTTCCCAGGCTGGTGTCTCTTCCCTTCCCAAGAGCCTTAGCATACTCTTCAGTGACCAATCAGCTTCTCTCTCCATCAAACTTGAAGGCAGCTTGTCGACCTCCATTGCCCTGAAACTGGGTCATTACCACAGAGCCTCCCTGCCCAGATTGTTGTGCTTCTTGTCATCCTGCTTAAGGCTTCCGTGAGCTACTGAGACTGTCAAGGTAGATGGAGCTGTCTGAGGTGCTAAGGGCTGTGGAAGAGGAAACAAACCTACTGAGGCTTACCAAGGGTTAGAAGTCCTCACAAAAGCATCCTACGGTTTTCAGGGTCATTGTGGGCTTGGGTTCCATTTAGAGGGTCCTCCTAACCCTCATGGAGGCCCCCAATGAGACCCTTAAGGCATGAAGCAAGCCTGGAATACTCCTATTCCACTGGTGTCCTGCTGTTTTCTTTCCCTCCATCGCTACTTCCCCACCTCTTGCAACTCTAGGACAACGTTTCTCACAGTGGTCTGCTGAGCCACTTTGAGAAACCTGTTGACTGGCTGTGCTGGTTTGTTTACTTACCAGAGCCATGGCCATGGAGCCTCGCAGCCCTTGTTGGCTCTGTTTTACCGTTTGCAGCCAAGGAACCGCAGGAAGCAGCAGCCCACATCCACGCCGCTTCCTGTGGCTTCCCTTGGCTGCAAACAGCCAAACAGATCCAAAAAGAGCCACAAGACCCCATGAATGCAGCACCAGTAAGTAAACAAAGTGTTGTGGCCAGTTAACAGGTTTCTCAAAGTGGTTTCTCAAACAGGTTTCTCAAAGTGGTTTAATGAACAACTTTGAGAAACACTGCTCTAGGGTTACCTAGCTAGGTGGTGGACTCTCCATTTTTTTTGAGGACAGACTGAAATAACTGGGCTTGTCTAGTTTGGAAAAGAGTGGACATGATAACGGTTTTCATGTACCTAAAAGGGTATTACAAGGACGAGGGAGATAAATTGTTCTTGGCCTCTTGTGATAGGACAAGAAGCAATGGGCTTAAATTGCAGCAAGGGAGGTTTAGGTTGGTCATTAGGAAAAACCTCCTACCTGTCAGGGTGGTTAAATACTGGAATAAATTGCCTAGGAGGGTTGTGGAATCTCCATCACTGGAGATATTTAAGAGCAGGTTAGATAGACATTTATCAGGTATGATCCAGTTAGTGCTTGGTCCTTTCATGAGGGCAGGGAACTGGACTTGATGACCTCTCAAGGGGGAAGCTGATAATTATAAATCAGAAGCTAGGAATGTAGAAAATTGATAAAGGAAGTCAAAGGATACAAAGAGAAATCTATGATCAGCAGAGTTAAAAACAATGAGTCTTTTGTCAGAAAAAGCTACACAAATTGTGCTCCGCAATTTTCATAGCTTTTTCTGATAGCTTTTCCGGAAGAGGCTTTTTCACTATTTGGTCCAGTCTAGATGGGGCCAAATGGAGGAAAAGCCTCCTCTTTCAGCGGAGCTCTTATTCCTTGTAGAACAAGGTATACAGGACTCCTTGAAAAAGCAGAAGAGCAAACACGTTCGTTGGACGTGACAGAGTTTTTCTGGGATACCTCTGATATTCCGGAAAAACTCTGTAATCTAGACGTACCCTAAGAGGGACTGTACTAAATGCATTAAGAACAAAAAGATTCCAAACAATTATATTGATTCATTACTAGGAGAAACTGGTAAAACTATCGATAATTAAGTGGAAAAGGCAGAAATAGTCAGTGAAGATTCTGTCCTGTATTTAGAAGGCATAGTCATATCATAATGATGAAATCCATTCTATGTCCAATAGTCACATGGGAGGATATTAAGCAGTGAGTAACTAAGGTTAGGCATTTTAAAACCAGCAGGTCCAGATAATTTGAAGCAGAGAGTTTTAAAAGAGCTAGTTGATGAACTTTCCGGACTGGTGATGTGAAGTCTTGGAACACATGGGAAATCCCAGAAGAGTGCTAATGTAAAGCCAATGTTTGAAATGGGCTGACCTACAGAACTATAGGCTGATCAGTCTGACATCAGTCCTGAGCAACATAATGGAATATCTGATATAGGACTCCATTAATAAGGAATTAAAGGAGCGTACTATAATGAATGGCAATCAACACAGATTTAAGGAAAGTAGATCCTGTCAAACTAATGGGATCCCTTTTTTAATGAGACCACAAGTTTGATGAATAAGGGTAATAAAGCTGATGTAATTGACTTTCGATTTTCAGAGGGCTTTTCACTTGGTATCGCCCAGTGCTTTGTGAAAAAGTAGAATGCCAGGTTCACTTGGCACACATTCAGTGGATTTCAAAACTGGTATGTGATAGACCACAGAGTGTAATTGTAAACAGGGAATCAATTCTGAGTGGGTGTATTTCTCATGGGGTCCTGCAGGAACTGGTTCCCCCCTAATCCCCTGCATTGATGGGCCTGTTTATAATACAATAACATTGTGTACAATGCATAGATTCAGTTGCTTATTCTTTGGAGGTCTGGCTCTAGCTTGTCACATATGCATAGAGCTCCATGTGACCTCCCCCCCCCCCCCCCATGCAAATAATTGGAATAATAATAATAACAGTTTAAAAAAATGAGATGTGATTTCATAGAATCGTGGAAGGGACCTCAAGAGATCATCAAGTCCAGTCTTCTGCCCTCACGGCTGGATCAAGCGCCATCTAGAGCAGTGTTTCTGAAAGTGTTCTGTGGTGTGGGCCAGGCCAGTGCTCTCCATGGCTCCCTTTGGCTGCAAATGACGTGTCTTGCTCACAACACTCCTGTGAATGCAGCCCAGAATCATGTTTGCTTTTTTAGCAACAGCATCACACATATTTAGCTTGTGGTCCCCTATGACACCTAGATCCCTTTCCAGAATACCCCTTTCTAGATAGTTGCTTCCCATTTTGTATTTGTGGAACCGATTGTTCCTTCTAAATGGAGTAATTTGCATTTGTCCTTATTGGATGTCCTATTTACCTCCGATCATTTCTCCGGTTTGTCCAGATCGTTTTGAATTATGAGCCTATTCTGCAAAGCACTTGCAATTCCTTTCAGCTTGATATCATCTGCAAACAGAGCAAATCTTAGTATGGAACTGCTTTTCCAATAAATGTGTGAATATAAATTCTCCTTTACCATCAAATAATGAATAACAATTTGGTAACTGATTAAGTCAATTACAGAGTGTCATTCATGTTTAAAAACATTATAGTGTTAATTTTTTGTTGAGGTTCTACAACATATAATACGCATCTGCAGACAAATGTTCATTTGTTAAACAAATCCCACTGGCAGTTCATGGATTTATTCATTGTTGGTTTACTTACAGTTAAGTCTTTTGGCAAAGTCCTGTGTGGACATTACATACCTAGAGTTGGGGCAGTTTTAATTAAAATTTATAAGTTTATGACAGTTGTATTGAACTACAATAATTGAACAAGGAAAATGTCATCAGTTAATTAAGAGTGTACATCTGAGAGATCTAATTAAAAGTTTGGATAATAGTAATGAATGCTTTCCAGCAGACCAAATTAACAGATGTTTAAAAAAATAGCATTAACAGTAAAAGCATAAGAAAAAATACAATTGCTTTTCTCTTACAGAATAAAAGTACAAAATAGAATAATAGAGCAATAAATGAGCTTATTGAAAACATTACCGAAGTTTAAGAAGATCACAAAATTAGATAAATCTGAATTCCTAGTACATTTACAGAAAGCTGAATCCTTGATTAGCGTAATTTGAAATCAGCAGAAAAACAAATTGTCTCGTCCTTAGCACAAGTAAAAGAACAGTTGATGAAATATTTTATGCTGCTTTCAAAACATTAAAAGCTATTTAAATAACATGTTTCTGCTTCTTCTAAATAACTGTTGCAGAATAACCTGCCTTTTCTTTAACCAATGTATGTTGCTTCTCTTTGAAAACGTATAAAACTTCAGGGAAGATTTTTGGCCCGTGCTGAACAGCTCATTTACACTCCTCACTTGTCACAAAGGGACCAGAAACTTCATTAAACAGAGAAGCTGGGAGTAATTCAAAACAAGGATCATGACCAACTGAAGTAGTGTAGCTGTTGTATTTCAAAATAATTTCCTCAGTCCACCTGCAGTTGGGGAATGCAGGGGGTGAGATGGACTATAACCAGAGTTCAAGGGGGCCTTTATAAGGGTAGTAACCAACATTCTTCAAAATCCCCTGTCTCAGTTATTGGCTGTGTAATGACATTGACCTTTGTTCTCAACAGACAAAAACGATGAGGGACTGTACACTGGGAAATCAGAACTAAGAATTGTCCTTGTTGGCAAAACTGGTGTTGGGAAAAGCGCAACAGGAAACACCATCCTTGGCTTTCCAAGATTTGCCTCCCAAATTTCATCAAAGTCACAAACCAAAGAGTGTGAAAGAGGGAAGCGGAACTGGCATGGGAGAGAGGTTGTCGTGGTCGACACACCCGGCCTTTTTGACACCCATATTTGTGAAGAAGAAACATGCAAAGAGATTAGTCGCTGTGTTGTGGTCACCTCTCCAGGGCCTCATGCTATAGTGATTGTGCTACAGCTGGCCCGTTACACAAAGGAGGAGAAAGCAACAGTTGCCCGGATACAAGATATTTTTGGCAGCAAAGCAAAGAACTACATGATCTTCTTGTTCACCAGGAAAGAAGATTTAGAGGGCAGACCACTAGGTGATTATGTAGAAGAACTGGATCCTGATCTTAAGAAGTTGATTGAACATTGCGGAAACCGATGTTGCACTTTCAACAATAAAGCAGGGGATGAAGAAAAGGATGCTCAGGTATCTGAGCTAATTGGAATGGTAGACTGTATGGTGAAAAGTAATCAAGGGAGATGCTACATTAATAAAATGTACGTCTTTGCTGAGGCATTGCTACAACGAAAAATGAGAGAATTAAAGAAAAAATATGAAAGCGAGCTGAAGAAAAAGAGAGAAAATCTAACACATTCTTTTGGGGAGAAATTTGACCAAATTGAGGCAGAATTACAGGTAGAAGAAAAAAAGTTACAGGAAGAAGGTAAAGTTCCAAAGGCTAAAGACGAAGCTTTAAAGCAGCTGAGAGAAATGGCGGAACAGGCAAAGAAAGATTTGGAAGAGGAATTTTTGAAAAGTCTGAGGACAGAAGCCAGCATGTGTGAAAAACAAAAACAGGGAGTCAGGAGAGACAGCCAGAAAGAAGACACTTTCATATATCAGATACTAAAGGCATTTGCTCCCATCTTTGCCCGAGTCTCAGACTGGTAGGGCCAATATGGATAACAGGGTGATGTGAGTATTTGCTGTTTTTCCTGTGTGTGTGTGTGTGTGTGTGGGAGGGGAGAGGGGACTAGTGGTTACAGGGGTGAGCTGGCAGCCAGGACGCCTGGGTTCTCTCATAAAAAATGAAGTTTCACTTCATAATAAAATTTAGCAATTTGCATCCTGTTCTCAACTTCACTCTCACACATGTATACAAAATCAAACCCTAGTACTTTTCTTCATTAATATTATATATTACGAAATATTTATATTGAATAGTTACATCACTTCTACAATGGGCTATGGACTCTAATGTAAGGGAATGCCATACTTAACCATAAATGCCCCCAGCTTATCTGAAATCCACACAGTTTACATGGATTTACCTATAGAGACAACAAATCAGCTGTGATATTATTTCATATTTTTCTGTGAGCGTGTTTGTGCTAAAAATACAGTGTGAGTGACACTGAATGTAATGTGACAGTCATTCCATTGACCACCCTAGATCTGTGTTCCACAAGTTATTAATGTTTGATAGCTCGCGTATATTGAGATGATGCCAGAAAAACACTAGCCACCGGTCACTACTATGAGGAGTCTCATTGATTTCAACGAACAAATGTCCCTTCGGCATGCCACGTCCATTACCCTTTCCCCGCTCCCATTGAATTGTGGTTTCTTGTCAGATGTTAGTGAAATCCAAAAAGCAGGAGGTGCCTTCAGCTGGGGTCCTCAGGACATTGATTATATATCTCCATCTCTGCTACACTGATGGCAGTGGGATGGCGAGGAGTATGGGAAATAAGCAAGAAGAACTAGAACTGCTAGTTAACAAACACAACTGTGACATGGCTGGTATCACAGAGACTTGCTGGGATAATGCACATGCCTGGAATATTGGTACAGAAGGGTACAGCTTGCTCAGAAAGGGCAGGCAAGAGGAAAAGGGAGGCAGCGTTGTCCTGTATATCAAAGGTGTATGCGCTTGGACTGTGATTGAGTTGGAAAGAAGGGACAGACTTGTTGAAAGTCTCGGAGTAAGGGTAAAACCTCCAAGCTGGATGTGAGGGCAGGGGTCTACTACAGACCACCCAACCAGGCAGAAGAGGTGGATTTTCAACAGCCTTCAAAATCATCCAAACACAGGACTGGATGGCGATGGGGGATTTCAGCAACTTAGGCTTCTGTTGGGAAAATAACCCAGCAGGGCACAGAGTATCCAACAAGGTATTGGGTATCAGAGGGGTAGCCGTGTTAGTCTGAATCTGCAAAAGCGACGAGGAGTCCTGTGGCACCTTATAGACTAACTGAAGTGTAGGAGCATAAGCTTTCTTGGGCAAAGACCCACTTCATCAGATGCATGTGACGAAGTGGGTCTTTGCCTACGAAAGCTTATGCTCCTACACTTCAGTTAGTCTATAAGGTGCCATAGGACTCCTCGTCGCTTTAACAAGGTATTGGAACGTCCTGGAGAAAATGAGGAAGGGGAGACCATTCTAGCTTTGATTTTCACACACAGGGAAGAAGTGGTTGAGCATTTCACACGTTTGGGTGAAAACAGCTCTGAAATGGCAGCATTGGTGAGTCTAAGGAATGGGGGGAGAGAACACAGAGAAGTCTGTTTTCTGAAGTCACTTACTAACTCAGGCTGCAGGAGACAGCAGGAGAAGGTGGGCCCACTGCTGTAGACCACAGAGTTTTATAATGCTTTATGTCAGGGGTATCCAAACTTTTTTCAAAGAGGGCCAGATTTGATGAAGTGAACATGCGTGAGGGCCGACCATTTTGCCTGACATTCTTTGAACCATTAAAATTAAATGCAAATTAACTATTTTATGCAAAGTTTATTGCAAACGGCATACTTTTCATTTCGTCACATGGATGACAAATCTAAACAGGTGTTAAATCATTCTGCCTTTCATATCTGAAGGCCAGATGAAAAAAAAATCCAGGAAGCTGAAATATATGTCAGGAACATTGTAAAGTACATTACATATTATTGGTAATAAAGGTTGTCTGTCAACTTTTAAGTTCAAAAAATATGAACAGGAACATAACACCAAGTATACATGTTGTGTCCAAATATATTTATAACTGATTTAGACCAACTGACATTAACTGAGATTTTACAATGTATTCATCTCAATACATATGGATTCGTTGGGGGCCATAAAAGATAGATATTGCCAAATTACCTGTGGGGCCGTATTAAACCGGAACACGGGCCGCAATTGGCCCGCGGGCCGGGCTTTGGGCATGCCTGCTTTATGTGATGTGCTTAATGGGTAATCTGAGAATGAATGTTAAACAGCTCTTAACTCTGCCAGCTGCCCCTTTCTGGGGAGTGGGGAAGAACAATCTTCTAGGCCCTTAATAAAGATCCATCATGCCAACTGCTTGTGTCTGTATCTGACATCAAGAGAGAACGAGATCAGCAGGATTCTTGTGAGTCAGTATGATCACACTGTTGCTCTTAGGAGTAATTAGAATATAGATTATATTATAGTGTTATAAAGAAAATATGATGAATGAATTAAAAGTTTGTACTAATAGAAGCTGTTGTACGCCTCTTGTATGGACAATTGCATTCCTTTTCCCAGTGTGAAATAATTGTGTACTTCCTGGGGGCAGTGGGGAGAAATATAGAGCCAGAAGGAAACATACTGGTGAAAACATATGTGTCCGAGGAGTCTGGGTGCCTCCAGAGTTGGATGATCACGCAGCAGGGGTTCAGTGAATGCCAACGCCACCTAAATGTGGAATGTAGGTGCCTAAATTGGGAAGTACGTGCCTAAGCCTCCATGGTTTCTTATCATTTTATTAAACTTTCTAGCAACACGAGTATCCTGTGCTTTCACATTCCAAACCAGGCTCTGTGCGTGTACCATCGCTGTTTCCCACTGGACGTACGGTAACATGGAGTATCCTTTCTTTTTACATACCTAGTTCCATTTTCAAAATATTAGTTGGAGTTAATAATGTTATAGAAACTGTCACCAGGTGGCACTGTTACACAGTCTTCCCAGTTCTTTTCCTTCATTGGCAAGTATAGGAGGCCCTCAACTTGTGATGCGATCCATTCCAAGGGAAGTGTCGCAAGTCCGCGGCATCGTAACACGAACCCTCATTTATGACAGACACAGTGCGCCATCGTAAATGTGGGCTGAGGACGTAAGTCGGGGCTTTTCAGCCCCTCCTGCATTTACAAAAATGGTTGTAAGTGCAGGCGGTTGAACTCGGGTGGTCGCAAGTGGGGGGCCTCCTGTAACTATTCAGTCCTTTCAGAAGAAGGGACCTACCAGATTCTACAACCCTCTCTCCTGTGATCCCACTAAAGAATACCAAAAAACCAAAAACCCTAAAGCAACTTCTCATGAAACTCCTGATGCTGCTCAGGACCAAATTTATACAACACTCTCCTTCCCCAATTCCCAATGAGGAGTTTTCTATCTGCTACTCAAGATACACATACTTGGAAATCCCAGACGACCCATCATCTCAAGCATCGGTACACTTACATGATCATCTGACTATATTGACTCTCTCTTCTCAGACCCTATGCCACTAGCACTCCTAGCTGTCTTCAAGACACCACCGACTTCCTAAGGAAAGTATAAAACATTAGTAATCTTCCTGAAAACATCATTCTGGCCACCATGGATGTAGAAGCTCTTTACACCAACATTCCACATGAAGATGGATTACAGGCTATCAGGAACACCATCCCCGATGACACCACTTCACAACCGGTTACAGCGCTCTGCAACTTTGTCCTCATCCACTTTGTCCTCCAATTCAGAGACAATTTGTATCTTCAAGTCAGCAGCACAGCCATGGCTGACTTCATGGCTGACCGTGAACAATGTTTCCTCAGCTCTTGCCTCCAGCACCTTTACTCTACTTATGCTATGGACCCATGGAAAAGAGACCCTGGAAGAATTTCATAGGGATTTCAACAACTTCCACCCTGCCATCAATTTCAGCCTGTATCTGTCTATACGAGAGATCTGCTTCCTTGACACTACAATACAATTAAATGATGGACAAATTTCCACCACCCTATACCAGAAACCTATCGACCTCTACACTTACCTTCATGTCTCTAGCTTCCACCCCAGATACTTTTCTCAATCTATTGTATACAGCCAAGCCCTAAGATACAACCGAATTTGCTCCAGTCCCACAGACAGAGACAATCACCGTCAGGATCTATATAGAATATTCCTAAAACTGAAATGCCCACCTGGAGAAGTGAAAAAACAGATTGACAGAGCCAAAAAAATACCCAAACATGAACTACTACAAGACAGAACAAAAAGAGAAAACAACAAAATTCCACTTGTCATCAACTACAGTCCACAACTTAAACCCCTCCAATGCATTAACAACAATCTACAACCTATCCTGGAAAGTGACTTCTCTCCCTCAGAGGCCTTGGGGGAAAGGCCAGTCCTCGCTTACAGACAACCCCCGACCTCAAACCAATTCTTTCCAGTAACCACGCAGCACACCTCCATCATAATCATCCAGGAACCCACCCCTGCACTCAGCCCCGGTGTCAACTCTGCCTACACATCTACACTAGTGATTTCAGCACTGGCCACCAAATCAGAGGCTCATTTAACTGCACATACACTAACATGATCTATGCCATCAAATGCCAGCAATGCCCCTCTGCCGGGTATATTGGTCATACTGGACAGTCTCTGTGGGCACGTCTAGACTACATTCCTCTGTTGAAAGTGGAATGTAAATGAAGCAAATTGAAAGTGCAAATGAAGCACAGATTTAAATAGCTTACCTTTCATTTGCATATTTGCGTCCGAGTGCTTTTTCAAAAAAAGGGGTTTTCAGAAGTAAAACCGCAGTCTAGACAGGGGTCTTTCAAAAAAAACCCACCCTTTTTTGAAAGAACCCATATTCCTGAAAAAATTAGGAAAAAGTGCTCAGACATGAATATGCAAATGAAGCATGAGATATTTAAATCTGCGCTTCATTTGCACTTTCGGGTTGCTTGGTTTACATTCCTCTTTTGACATAGGAATGTAGTATAGACGTCCCCTA